TTTTTTTAAAAAAAAATAATTTTAAAAAAAAAATACCGGATTTGGTGGGCAAAAATACGGTTTCCACGCAGTATTTTAAATTTTGGGGGCAAGAATTTAACGGTTAATTGACTTTTTTTTTTTTTTTTAAATTTTTTTCCTCCCAAAAAATTTTGTTTTAATTAAAATTACTGTTCGGGAGGTTTTGGAAGTTAAATTACTGTTTCCAACAGTAATTTAACTTTTTTAGGCAATAATATTAATAATATTTCCGTTTGGAAAAATAATATTCATAATATTACTATCCCAAACAGTAATATTTCTGTTTGGGACAGTAATTTTGTAGTCAAGGCAGTAATATTAATTAAAATTTTTTTTTTTTAAGAAAAACCCTTTTTAAAAAAAAAAAAAAAAAAAAAAGTCAACGCCGGAGACCGGCGGTGAACGGTGGTTGACCGACCGCAAAAAAAATTCAGGAAAAAAAAAAAATTTCAAAAAAAAAAAAAAAGTCAACGCCGGAATCTGGCCGGAAAAAAAATATTTCAGAAAAAAAATTATTTTCTGAAAAAAAAAAGTTTTGGGGGTTAATGTGATATATTTGTTTAAATCCGGGGTCAATGTGTAATATTAAGGAAGTTAGAGCATAATGGGTGGAATTGTTAAGAATTATATTATTGAGGGTATTTTAGACTAAAGACATGGGGATGGGCTTAATTGAGAGACTGTTTTTTTTGTGGACTAAAATGCATTTAAGTCCCATGTGATGGGCCTTTTTGCCATTTGCCCTATTATTAAAGTTTGTGAACAGAGTATCGATATGTGTTTTCTTCTCCTTCCAACAATTATCGAATATTTTGCTTCTGCTTATATTACTTTATGTGTTCTTGTGTAGTCATATCTTTAAAATTCTACTATGAGATAGATTACAACTCATTCTATGGAAGTAAACTCTCATTTTCTTTCTCCGTATTTCCGAGAGTAATGTCAGATAAGAATAGGATGCTGACATAAGAAAGTTTGTCTTAGTTGTTCTCCTTATTTTAATAGGATTACCATCTATAAATCAAAAATCATTTTTTTCTTGATGTTTTTATTATGACTTTTGTGTAGCTGTAGAAGGGTAAAAATACGTGTTAAAGGTGCATGAATTACGATATTTAGAGCGCTACATTTGTTCCCTTTTAAGTATATGGATAAAAGGACTAATTTTACTCACAAATCCTAATGTGAACTCGCAGTGAGGGAGACCCTCGACATATGTTGTATTTCCTGTTACTAAACACGTTTCCTATGTTGAATAAAATTTTGACACTTCCTCATATATGTATTCAGGCTCTCTTCTAATTTCCTACTTAATGCTGGGAAGCTATTTACTGAATAAAAATATTTTTTACCCAGTGTATAAGAAGATTAAGGAGAGTCCTGGGGCTCTATCAAGTTTTTTAGGCTCTTGTCAGGCTTCACGAGCCCCTCATTCGATACGTCAATTTCAATTCAAAATGGTCACTGGTAAGTCAATGGTTAGTCAAACTAGACATATTCACACCGAACCTTTGTCTTATTATTATTATCGTCAATGCATTCTTGACCGCTTGCTATTTTTCAAAGAATAAAACAAGTATCACTATGAGAAAGAACACCTACTGTGACAACTAAATGTGTCACTAAAGACACATATTGTGACGATTTATCTATTGAGAGGGCTACAAAATTGTCACATGTGCGGGCGTGATAATATATTTTGTGATGCCTACAAGCGTCCCTAGAGGTAAGTAATTATTGGTTGAAGCAAATATAATACTGCAAGTAAGTGTGACATTGTTCGTTTTTGTTTTTATTTCTTCCAT